GGTGCCGGCGCCGGGCAGAGTCCGCCCGGGAGGAGCGTCGGGAAGCGGGAGCCGCTCCCGGCAGCGGCGCCGGGAAGGGAGGATCCCGTCGTCGGGAGGAAAGTCCTGGAACGCGGAGCCGGGAGGAAAGTCCTGGGCGTCGCAGCGGGATGGGCGCATCCCGGTGCATCCCGGTGCATCCCGGAGCCTTTCGGACACCGTTTGGGAACGGTGGCCACATCCCTCCGGGATAATAGCCCGGGCCTGTTTGTGGCCCTGGGGTTGGTTTGTGGCCAATTACTCCTTGGTTAATTATCCTAATTACTGCCTGCCGGAGCTGGGAATACCGAGCGGGATGAGTGGAAGCGGAGGAATTTTTAGCCCCGGCGTTGGCTGGAGAAGGAGCCAACGGAGGGAATATCCAAGGAGCGGGAGCATCCAAGGAGCATCCTGGCCGCGGAGCGCGTTCCCGCCTGGAATCCCAGCTATGCGGCGGGAAGCGTCCTCCTTCCGAGCGCATCCGTGAGGAAAAGCCGGGCCGGAGCCGCCTTCCCGGCGGGATCCTGCTGGGCTCTCCCGCGGTCGGATTGTCCCGGGAATCTTAATGGCTTGGGAATTTTAATGGTCCCGGAGTGTTTACGGCTCCGTGCTAATGATCCGGGGCTGCTCCGCGTCTCCGCCGGGACATTCCTGGTCCCGTTCCAAGGACAAACATCCGCTGCGGCGGGAACCATCCCGCGGAAAAGGCGGCGGATTTGCCTGGAAACTCCTGGGATTTTTCCCTGCACTCTGTGGGATCATATCCCATTTCCCCCCCTTTTTTGCTATTTTCAGCAAGTTTTCCCAGCAAAAACCCCCGGAGGTGCCGGGCTGAATCCGAGGCATTTTCCGCCTTCCCGGAGTGCGGAATCTCCTCGGTTTTCCCATGACCTAACGGGGCCAGACTGTGGGGGGAGGATTCCCGTCCCGCTCCCGAATCCCGCAGCGGGAGCCGGGGAAGGGCCGGGATCGGGAATGCGGATGCGCCGCCGGGGCCGTGACTCACCTGCCGCCTCCCCTCCCTCCCCGCCTTTTGTCCCGCTTCCTTTTTGGCTCCGATCCCGAGCTCCGGAACGCCGGAGCCCAGAGCCTAATAAGGGCAAGGAATGAGGGGAATCCGCTCGGCCTCGCTCCGTTGGGATCAGCAAATTAAGGGAAAACAACAATTAAACTCAGGGAAGCAGCGGGCGAGCGGCCTCCTGCTCCAACCCCAGCGTTTGGCACTGGGAAAAACTGGGAAAAGGGGCCTAGAAATCCCTCTTTCCCGCGTGCCGGCGCTTTGTGTATTCCCGGGAATGCCCGGGAGCGGTTGGAGCCGTTCCCGGTTCTGGTTGTAGCTTCCGGGTGGTTTTGGGGGGTCTTTTCCCAGGCTGGAGCTTGTTCCCAGGGTTTGGGTGTGGGAAAACATGGGTATTCCGGAAAAAACGCCGCTTCCGGGGCCGAAGTCCGGCAGCGTTTGCCCCAAAGGGTGGCAAATCCCATGGGAATTGTGGATGTCCGTCCCTTCCCGCTTGGGAAGCGCTTTGCATCCCGCTGCGGCCACAATGCCTGGAAAACGTTTTCCCGGCGCCTCCCGCGGGAAGGAAATTCCAGAAGCAGATGCGGAATCGCCTTTTTTAGCCATTTTTTAGCCGCTTTTTTTAGGCTTTTTTAGCCGGCTCCGAGCCGGGAATGTCGCGGCCCGGCTCCGCTCCAAGGAATTTCCCCTTGGGAAAGGCGCCGGCCGCTGCCCGAGCCGCTGCTCGAGCCCCTTTTCCCTAGGGAAAACGGAGCGGATCCCGGCTCCTTCCACCTTGGGTCCAGCTCGGAATGCCGCCGCATTCCCAGGATCCGCTCCGAACGCTCCCGCCTCCGCGGGCAGGCGGAAAATTTCCGCTTATCCCGCCGCGTCTCACGGCATTCCCGCTTATCCTAGACCTTCACGGCCTGGTGCAATTCCCATCTCCGGAAGGCCGGCACGCAGATCGAGAGCATCGACGAGGACTTCCGCGACGGCCTCAAGCTCATGCTGCTCCTGGAGGTGATTTCCGGTGAGTTCCCGTTTTCCCGGAAACTCGGGATGCCATCCCGGTGCCGCTACACATTTCCGCTCCCGCTTAATGGGAAAACACCGGGAATCCTAACCAAAACGCATGGAAATGCTTAAAAACGAGTGTGTTTTCACCACGCTGTGGTGAAGCACCGTCTATCCTGCTATTCCATAACTTTTCCAGGGTTTTTTCCCATAACTTTTCCCGGTTTTTTTCCCAGGGGAGCGGCTTCCGAAGCCGGAGCGGGGCAAGATGCGGGTGCACAAGATCAACAACGTGAACAAGGCTCTGGATTTCATCGCCAGCAAAGGGGTCAAGCTGGTATCCATAGGGGCCGAGGGTGAGTCCGGAATCCGAAGCGGAGCCTCCGGAATCCGAAGCGGAGCCTCCGGAATCCGCTGGAGCGCCCCGGCTCTCCGGGGCGGCTCCCTGGTTTCGGGAAAGCCCTTGCGGAACCGGCTTTGCCGGGAGCGGCGCCAGGATCCGCTCCGTGCCCGGCTGCCTCCTCCTAATTCCCAATCCGTTGGGAAAACGGCCCTCGGAAGCCGCCCGTTTTCCCTCCACGGGAATTCCATGCCTCCCCTTGGCATTCCTTTGGATCTTGCCA